TGGGAGGGCGTGACTTGGCCGGGCAGAGTTGGAGAGGGGGAGGGGGGACTGGGGCAGGGGCAGGGGGACCTGTGGGAGGGCCTGGGGCAGGGGAGAGGCTGCACCTACCCTGACCTCAGCTCTGAGATGAGGCTGCGAGGATGCCTAGGTCAGTGGTCGGCAAGCCGTGGCTCTCGAGCCACATGCGGTTCTTTGGCCCCTTGAGTGTGGCTCTTCCACAAAATACCGGCTCTTCCACAAAATACCGACTTCTGCGCATGGGCCAAGACGTTTCAATCGCACTGTATATGCGCGCCCGCACGTGGTATTTTGTGGAAGAGCCACACTCAAGGGGCCAAAGAGCCGCATGTGGCTCGCGAGCCGAGGCTTGCCGACCACTGAGCTAGGGCATCACAGCCTTTTTCGCCCCGGGCCTTGGAGGAAGAGCGGCAGCTTGCCTGTGGCCACAGGCTCAGCCCTGCAGGCTGCACCCACATAGACCTGGAACTGCTCTGGGCCTTTTGGGCATGTATTCAGGTACACGTGTGTGTGTGTGTGTGTGTGTGTGTGTGTGTGATGAAGGTCAGTTACAAACAGGCTCCGAAACCATCCAGACACGTGTCTCTCACATGATAAAGCCGTGCTAGCAAACACGCTGGGAGCAGTAGTGAGTTGGTTGAAGGAGTCTGCTATAAAGTGAAGAGTCCCTCCAAACGATGCACTCCTGTGATGCTTGTTTCAACTTACTCAGTCTTTAAAGAGGCGAGAGTTTTCCCCATGCTGCACAACACGAGGCCATTTTCCCTGGAATCCTCACCACTCTTTGCTGTCTGGCTCTCAGCACTCCCGAGGGGAGGGTTGGGGGGGAATTTCGGGCGTTCCTGGCTTTACCCCCCACAGTGCACCCTACGACCTCTTTGTTGATTTCATGAAAGTGACCCAGGACCTGCAGGACACTCGTGTGCCATCTGCGTGCACTATCCTTTAGCATTTTTATGACTTTCCCCACCTATCTCCACCTACTTAGAAGAATTTTTTCCCCCAGACTCACCTTATGGGAGTCTTTTGAGAACACAACTTAGTTTTCATAGAAACAACATATTTCTCTCTTTCCAGTCCACGTTTCGTGGTTTTATACTATTCCGTGGGGGTGGATGGGACAGACGCTGAAGCCTCCTCGCGCAGGTGCAAGCCAGGCCCATGGCTCCACTGTTCAGCCCAGGAGGGGTGAGGATGGGGAGGGGGCTGGGCCAGGCACCAGCCCTCTGGGCATGGGGTCAGGGAGGTGACAACAGGCGGCAGAAGGAGGGGACATTTTAAAAGAAGATGCGGGACGGAGTCAAGGCTCCAGCTCCAGCTCCAGACAGTTCTCCGGGCGAAGGGAGGTGTGGATTTGTCCCGGAGATCCGCAGGAACTCCTACATGGATCAAGGGATTAGTATTGATTCTTCTGCCTCTGCTCAGGAAAAGCCCCGTGCCAGAGCTAATCAGCTCCCGGGCCAGTCAATCCTACTTCATTAACCCGGCCCTGTCCTCCTGCAACCCGGCCACCGTCCCTGCACCCCGGCCGGGCCTGGCTTCAGCCACGAGCTCCTGCTGGGCCTGCAGGGCACCGCCTTGGCCTCTCTCCACTCATGAATCCCCCAGCCTCCTGCTCAATTCCTCTTCCCCCACCCCCATCATCTGGAGGGGAAGGGAGAGCAGGGGACAGGGATCCAAGAGCTCCCTCCACTCCAAGAAGTGAAGTGAGGCCTGCGAGGGATGCTTAGTCGGAATGGCGATCCTTCTCGGTGACATCCCTGTGCTGGGCCAGCAGGGTTCATTTTCTCCTCACCGCCCGGTCCTTTCGTCTTCACGACAGCCCGGTGAGGCAAGCAGGCGGTCTCCTTTCACAGGTGGGGAAACTGAGGCTTAGAAGGGCTTGTGTGACCAGCTCCAGGTCTGGAGGCCACCTTCGCCGGGGCCGCTCAGGCTCGGCCTTTGGACTCTGAATTGGTGCAACCCCACCTCACGCCGCCTCCCCCACTGCAGAGCCAGCACGTGGGCTCCCGGGCCACCCTCAGGGCCCGGCTCCCTGAGCCTGCTGGGCCTGTGCGCTCTGCCAGCTGGTGCCAGGCAGAGGGCTCCAGGGAGGGGCTCCCACCTGCTCTCAGGGTGCAGCACGGATGGAGAGAAAGGCCAGGCCCTGGCGAGGTCCACATCCTGCCTCTTGGCCTGGCCACTGGGGGGTTCAGAAGGTCGGGGGTCATCTTATCTGACCCCAGAGCTGTCAGAGCATGGAGTTTCTCCTCTCTTGGCCTTGGGGCTGAGAGCCGGCTCTCACCCTAGCTACTTCTGATAGGAAGGGTGGCAGCTTCTGTTCATGGGCATCAGTACTGCCCCAGAAGCTGCTGTGATTACCAACGTGGAAAGGGCCTGGAGGGACCTGCCTGGCCTGGTGCCCTCTCTGTCCCCAGCTGAGCTTTGGCTGCCTGCCAGAAGGCAGGACGGAAGCCAGAGACCCCCAAAGTCCCATTTCACCCCCAAAAGGAGAGGCAGTGAGGAGGAGTGGCGGGATACTCAGAAGGGACCCCTTCCTGTCTCAGGGACTCACGTTGGCCCTATTCGGCCTCCGTTTCCCCATATCCAGTGTGGAGCTGTTAGGCCTGGTTCACCGCCTGGCAAACTCCAGGATGACCTTAAAGTCAACACGGCTCAGTTTCCTTATCTGTAACTCTTACGGGCTATTTTGGGGATCAAATGAGGGAAACATCTAGCTTGAGGCCTGGCACCCAATTAGCACGAAACACGCTCGCTAATGTAAAATAGGACAGCGGTTCCAACAACCTCCACCTGGCTTCAACATTCAGCTGAGTCCAAGCGCCAGAAGGAGAGGGCACTTCGGCTCCTTCCTGGTGGGTCCGCATTCACGGCCTCCGGGGCAGGTTCCTCTCTCCAAGGGCGAGGCTATGCCGAGGTCAGACTCCGTGGAAAGCAGGTATGCTGGCACGTGGCAGCGTGCTCAACTGGGTGTGTGTCAGCGGCCAAGGCACCAGAGAAGGGAGATTTCCCGCATGTGGGGAGGCCAAGGCCTTGAGAGTGGGACTCTGCCCGCTCCCCCTGCCCAGCTCGGATCTTCAGGCCCAGCTGCTGCCCACTGGCTGGCACTCCCACTACGGTTTTCCACCGTGTCCCCAGCACAGCCCCCTGGGGGGGCACTGTCTGTCCCCCCCTTTTACAGATCTGGAAACCAGCTGGGGACTGCAAGGTTTTGCCCCAGGCAGACAGCCTGGGCCTGCCCTGGTGTTGGGACACCTCCTGCACTCCCTGCCTCTGCCCATTCGTCCTGTGTCTCGGCCCAGAGACTGGTGCTCAGAGAAGGAATGGGGAGGGGGGGTTCAGGAGGTCGGGCGTCATCTTTCCTGACCCCGGAGCTGTCAGAGCATGGAGTTTCTCCTCTCCTGGCCTTGGGGCTGAGAGCCCGCCATCAGCAGGGGGCTAGGCCCTAG